TTTAATTGTAATGAAAACATTTTCATTTGTCTTCTGCCTCAGGATGGAGTGCCCACTTTCTATCCTCTGAATTTTTTTAATATTTTTATTGTAATAAAAACATGTTAATTTCCGTTGTGCCTCAGGATGGAATGCTTGCATTGCGTTGGTCTGTGGCAACTGTGTTGTGTGGTAAGTCTACCTTTCTATCTGTCTATATATTTTGAGATTTCTGAACTGGCTATTTTATGTCAGATCATGATTGTTTTATTAATATTTCATGAATTGTACTATAATTTTCTTTTCTATTTTCTTGTCATAATTGACTCTTATAATTTGTCGGAATAATGGTATATGTAGAATTCCCGACAATTTGCCTGATTGTGTTTCACCATATGCTTTGAGACTTGAACATTCGTAGAACCCTGTATTTCAGTTAAATTCTCAACTCTATTTATCCAATACTTCGGTTCTCGATGCATTACGGTTAAGCTGTAAGTATTTCATTGGTACAAAATTAGAATGATTGGCCAGAAACAGGGATATGGTGAACATTTTCCTTGACTTTTAGGCTTTTGGGTAACTAAACATTTTGTTAAGAAAATCCACCTCTTATCTCTAACCTAATTAATTTGTATTAAGGGAATATATCTTAGGTGGCAATGTTGTTGCTGAATGGGATTTTAAGATATAATATGCCCTTCAACTTCTCCCACTTCCAGTATTTTCATTTTCAAGTTGTGTAAAAACTCTCAATGACATCAATGCATAAAGCCTTTCCCTCCTAGTAGGTTAAGGCTTGATGGTGGTGATTTTTATCGTTTTCATGAAATGGTAATGTTCAAGTGCTACATATTTATATAATTGATAGATACCGAGGTAAAATCGGAGACCATACTTGTATAAGATATGGGAAAGTTCCACCCAAAATCAGTGCAATATCAAATCCTGGAATAATAATTAGTTTTAGAAATTGCAGAAAGAAATACAACTTCTGGACAATTTAGGAGTGCCTAACTCTCTCAAGTCATAACTAATTTTCCGGATCCTGTTACTGCCCCACTGAACTCCATCTATTCTCTTATGTCCCCACAATACTCAATGGTTATCAAACTCACAAGCCAACTTGTAAAATTCATGTGTTTACGATCATGGATCCAAGAAACAGGTTAATACGTTTGCAAACTTGTTTTTGGGAGATCCTGTGTGAACTTGAGAAAACTCATTCACATGCATGTAAAATTGCAAATTCATTTGCAGTTCTGTGTGTACAGTTGGGCAGTTAAAAATAGCCCAAAAATGATGCCTGGGTTTGAACATTTTTTGGTCTTTATTTATTTGGAACTGAGACCTACGGTACTATTCTACTTTTTTTTTTGGGTTCTTAGATAAACTTTGGAGACACAGGTCTAGAGTCCTTATCAGGAGTTCAGGCATCTTGAGTTCTAATATACCTTCGTAATGGCTGCTTGCTTATATCTGTGGTTTGCCTACCCATTCAGCCCCCTTCCCCAAAAAAATGTTCATATAATATACACAAACAAAGTCAGTAAAGAAAGTCTATCACAAAAGATTATCAAAATATCTTTGTTTTTGCCAGTTATGCAGATCTGTATGGATTTTGTATGTATATGTGTATTCACTTGTCAGATTGTCCAGTGTTCAATTTTTTTTTTTTTTTGTGTTATCTTAATATTTATGTTTTTCTGATTACCACATACATTAAAGGAAGGGTGCTCCAACAACTCCTTTGATAACTATTGCTGTGACAAAGCTAGTAGCTGAAGTTCTTGAGAAGAACAACTTACCCGGTGCAATTTTCACATCTTTCTGTGGAGGTGCTGACATTGGTCAGGCAATAGCAAAAGACACACGCATTCCCCTGGTTTCATTTACTGGAAGTACAAAGGTACTTAATGTACTTGGTAGTTGGGCATAATGTTTTTAACAGCCAAGCATAATTAAAGTAATTGAATAGAATATATAAATTTCTGTTTGTGAGTCCAAAGATGTACATGTCACCTAAATGATGCTCAGTTTAGTTGCCCTTAGTACTCTAGTCTTATTGTAGTTTGTCTATGAAGTCTGATATCTAACATGCTAAATCATTACCCCTTTGGTGCAACTACTTCCATGTTTCATGTACTGTGTAATCATGTATGTTGCCCTTGCTCCCTATTAAATAACTAATGTAGAAACTCTGAATTTTTAACTTTCTTCAGAATGAGTTGGAGATTACGATCTTATGGTGTTGAGTTCATAATGATGTTTTCCCTGTTATATAGGTTGGCTTGATGGTCCAGCAAACAGTGAATGAGAGATTTGGCAAGTGCTTGCTTGAGTTAAGTGGAAACAATGCAATAATAGTCATGGATGATGCAGACATTAAATTGGCTGTTCGTTCTATTTTGTTTGCTGCTGTGGGTACTGCTGGTCAGCGGTGTACAACCTGCCGGAGACTGGTATTAGAACCAATTTAAAAGATTAAATTCATAATTGCAATGCAAGTCATGTGTGATTTTATAAGATATATCTATTTTCTAATTCAACTTCTTGTGCTGCAGTTTTTGCACGAGAGTATTTAAACAAATGTACTAGACCAACTTGTTGGACTCTACAAACAAGTCAAGATAGGGAACCCCTTGGAGAAGGGGACTCTAGTTGGGCCATTGCATACTCGTACTTCCGTGGAAAACTTTCAGAAGGGTATTTCAGTCATAAAATCCCAGGCATGTTTCATGTTACTCTTTTCTAGTTGAGTTAAATATTAAGGTGATGTAAACTTCTTGTCTGTAATTATGCAAAGTAGGATATGCTATATAAAACAGATTGAATGCTTGTATTCTCTGTGGAGATAATGTACTTGATACTCTGAATCTCTGATTATCAGGGAGGGAAGATCTTAACAGGTGGATCTGTATTAGAGTCAGAAGGAAATTTTGTACAACCAACAATTGTTGAGATTTCTCCAGATGCTCCTGTAGTTAAAGAAGAATTGTTTGCTCCAGTTCTTTATGTCATGAAATTTCAGGTAGAGTATATTCTATATCTTCTTTCATTTTACTATTTCTTTTGGACTTTAGTTTTACGATTGAACTTCACTATTTTCTACTTAGACTCTGGAAGAAGCAATTGCCTTGAACAATTCTGTACCTCAAGGATTAAGTAGTTCAATCTTTACACAAAGACCTGGAACTATATTCAAATGGATCGGGTAAGTACTTATAAACTACTCTGCTGTAATTCTAACAAGGATTTAGTACTGGCTACAACAACTCTAAAGATAGTTGATTTCACTTGTTCATGGATGTTGATAAGGTGCAGGCCACGAGGTAGTGATTGTGGTATAGTGAATGCAAATATACCTACAAATGGAGCTGAGATTGGTGGTGCCTTTGGTGGGGAAAAGGCAACTGGTGGTGGTCGTGAAGCAGGAAGTGACTCATGGAAGCAATACATGCGTCGTTCTACATGGTAAGTTATAGTGGAATTTATGATATTGCATTCCTTGGTTACAAGCTCTGTTAATGGTGAATATATCTTCTTCTTCATCTTCTTCTGTGCATATCCTTGACAGTACCATCAACTATGGAAGTGAACTGCCGTTGGCTCAGGGAATTAACTTTGGTTAGACAGCCACCCTTGTTACATGAGGATGAACAAATGCAATTTTGCAGCCAGAAGAGACAAGTTCTATCACACATGTTAGTCTGGTTGACTTTGGCTCAAAGTGTTGTTTGAACCTTGAACATGACAGCTTCAATGTATTAGACTTAAATAAATGGCAATTAAATCTTATTTCCAAATAAAGTATCTGACGTTTAAATACGAGCAAAGCAGATTTTGGTCTTTGAAAATATCACATTTTTGTATTTAATTTATGCAAATTTTTATTTTAGATTTTATAGTTAACAAAATGATGTCATTTGGGAGTGCACCACAGAGATTCAATGTCTGGTGAGATAGAATTTATGAAGACAGAAAAACAATTATGAAGTTAAACACAAATCCCCTACTTTCTTTTTGTCTACTTTGATTTTGTTCAACAGTTTTCTTAAGATTTAACATCAACCTTTTTCTTAAGATTCAACAATAACTTTCGTATTTGACCAAAATTTATGAGCAAAATATTTCCACATTTAAGAGTTTGGTAAGATTCACCCATAACTTACGTACAGGAATAAAATTAAATTTAAGATAATGATATTTT